TGGTGAATGTATAGAGATCCGGAAACCCTTTTTAATGGAAACGAGGCATTCCATCATAGCCATTCATAGGTGCCAATACATCTACGTTTTGATTCTTCGTCGAGGGTATGGCCACAGCATCCACTTATCATCAGGTGGACCACAGAACACTTAATATAGCTAATTACGCTATATTAGGTGTTCTGTGAGGTGGACTGTGTGCTCGTTTGTCACCCTTATTCTATAAAAAAAATTGTATATACTGCTTATTTATATCAACATCCTTTAATTGCTTTTAACATGTGCACCCGATTTATATATAAAAATATTACCGAAGAATGGCAAGGCAATATTCCCTTTCTCGGTGCTAGTATTTAGATCAAGCATATTAGAAAGGGATATTTTGCCGCTTTGCCAAGGTAGACTTTTACAATAATGGATCAGATCAAGTCAAAGTATAAAAATTATATTGTATATATTATCTATATGCCTAGAAATATTACAAAAAATACTTTATTTTGTATTTTAAAGTACAACTTTATTGGGCGCCACTTGGGGGTAACTTAGATCTTTTATTCGGTTCGGACGGAAGTAATGTTCAGTAAAATCTGTGGTCCGTTTACGCAGCTTACGCATTTAAAAAACGACAGACTGACTGTATGTTATGTGTACACGTGTATTTTTATATATATATATATATATACAACATTCAGAATATTACACAAATTATTATTTTAAAAAACTTTTTTTATAGAAGAGGGGGTAAACGAGCATGCGGCTCACCTGATGTTAAGTGACTACCGCCGCCCATGATCAACCGCTACACCAGGGGGAATTGCAGGTGCGTTGCCGGCTTTTTAGAAAGGATTAAACTCTTTTCTTGAAAGTCCCCAGGTCGTATCGTCCGGAAAAATCGCCGGTGGTAAACTATTCCACAGAGAGGTCGTACGAGGAAGAAAACTCCTTGTGAAACGTACAGTGGTGGACCGCCAAGCATCCAGATGGTGTGTGATGTGTGATAGTGACTTAAAATATTCGTATAATTGATTTTATTCCATAATCATCAACGATAATTTTTTATAAAAAATTTTATTTAAAAATATGGCTTAGACTCTCAGCTCCCTATCTAATCGTGAATTTCACGCAGCCCAGCCATTGCACAGATCAGCCCGGTCAGATAGACAGATAGTCAGCCAAAACTTTTATAAATGGTTTTCATGTGTAATGGCATCCAAATAACCCTCAGAGCTCAACAACAGTTACTTCGATATTACAGTTAGACACAATTTTATTTATATGTATATAAAAGTTTTACTTCAAACGCGCGTAAAAGTTATATGCCCTCTTTTATTATAATCCTCTAGGGTTAGTATATTTATACAAAATATCCTGTAATTTTGAAAGTTAATGCCTGTACTCTTACTGCGTAACTTAATAAAAGGAATATTAAACCGTAACCATTTAAGGATTCACAAAATGAAACAGATCAATTTATAAAACCCATCATTAGGCGCCGACTATAAAACAGTCGTTTCGTATTAGCAATAGCTAATGATAAAATAATAGGGGGATGATTTTAGACACGATAGAAAAGTAATTTACGTAAAACTTGAATACACAATACTGAGGAGTCCGCGCGCTTCGTACCAACCACCGTTACCAGCGAGAAAAAAAATACCACATGGCCAAACTTATCCGTTACCTTTGGCTTCAATTTGAACAAATAACATCGCGAAAACTTTTTGCATAATGCGCTCAGTAATGATTTTAGAAAGACCGTTAGTTTGTGACTTCAAGGTCGAATTTTATGTGTTCGACATAATACACAACTCTACTTGAATCCGCTTTATCGTTCCAAAAATAAATATACTAATTATAGTTACGTACTTCTCAGTCAGCGGCTGTGCTGCTATAAATGAATTTAAGTTTGGATTTTATTGAATCTACTTAATTTTATAAAAATTTTCACGGCGCAGAGAGTAAAAGTCAATGGGTTTTCACGAATATTTCGTTATGCCAATCTGGTTAGGCGCATTCAGCTTAAATAGTTGAAGACACGCAAATCCGCGAAGAGGGTTTCCAAACCAATTAAGGTCTCCACGAAGGCATGGGAGAGCGCACAGCTGACGGATTACGAGCTCGATGGTACTCAGTGCGGCGATTCACCGCCGGCGGGACTATAGGTGTGGGACACGCAACCGTAACCACCCAACCGACAATGTAGTCCTGGTTTGGTACAAAAGAAGTACTTTGCTTTTTTACGTTTTTTTTTTCATTAAATTTATGGTATGAAGTTATAGCTTATATACAATATGTTCTACTTCTGGCCACATGTTTCCTCTCATTTTTAAGAGATATTAAAAATACATACAAGATCACTTACGAATTCAATTTTTGACAGCTTTTTTTTTAGTCTGTTTTGTTCTGTTAAATTTCTGATATAGACTCTCTAGGGCTAAAATGTTATACCAAAGCAATTCGCACTTAATAATCTTATACGAACGGTAGTTAGAACTCAACTCTTAGAGTCTTACAGATGAGCGAAACTTAGCCAACGGTACTGCCAACGAATGCTGTCGCCGCTTACTGATGACTGTGGGAATGGTGCTGGTGAAGGTGTGATCTGCCAGTGTCGAGATTCGACAGTAGCGACAGGCGTGAGTGCTAGATTTATTACAGTAGTAAGAAAAAGTAGATTTAATAGAAGATATAATGTTATTACTCATTCCGTTTACACAAATGAAATGGAAATCGGTCATTATTTGACACATAGAGAATCTTTACCATCATCTAAGAGGATTTTCCTCACAAATGCTAGCAGACAATTTGCCTCTCTTTCACCCAGTGTCCAAAATTCAGAGCCGTACACAACACTGATCTCAGTAAGTTCTTATGCAAGAGCAGGAGAGAGAAAAATGTTTTTGGGGCCGAAATTATACCAATCTTATAGAGCTATAGAGCATACGGTTACCAATTTAACAAGTTTACAAACATATAGTAAAAAGCTTTTCATAGCACATGACTGTACTGCTGGCTAGGTTAGCAGTACAAGTACTTCAGGCGTCGCTGCTGCCTGACGTCGACATGTCGGCGACTGCGGTCGAAGCATCAGCGAATGTCGTCACTCTCTAGTATATAGTCAGTAAACTATGGTCGTCACTTTTAGTCGACGGCTACATTTATGTATGCCGTCGGCGGATTGGGAGTACCTACTTCACATTAATCAGTACTCGCTTTTGCCACCGCTATTTACAAGGAGAGACCGTAATTATAACACGTAATATTCTTTAGGAAGTGTCATTAATACGCTCGATGGCGAATGAAAAATAATTGTCTACATACAAAGTTTACAAACTGGCAATAATAGATATCATAGTCTACTTGGATGTGCTCACTAGCAAAAGTTTTAATGTGTATTTATTTTACTAACCTACACAAGCAGGTACGATTAGTTATAATAATTAATAGTTCAAATTTGATGTAGTTGTTAACTCTACGCTACAAGTTTTCCAACTTTTACATGAAGTAAACCAATTTTTTATGAGATTAACACAAACATAAAATATCGATTTAGTATCTTACAACAATTTTTGATTTTTATATCTTGCTTTTGAAAATGTTTTTTGCTGAAAAACTACGTTTGAATAAAAGCGTACTATATAGAGAGACATCTTATTGTCAGTTTCGATGCACTTAGACGAACTAAGCGACTAGACGTTTTTAAGTTTTTATGTCTCTCGTGATCGCGTGCAAACTCTAAAATAGTTTGAAACTTTTACATTACATAATTTATTATTTTAGTATGTAAACTTGACAGAGCAGAAATATTCACTTTCGTAGGTACAATACGAACTCATAGAGGTCGTTATTTTGCTTTGTTGGGTAGTGGGCACTAGACTTCGTCGTCTGAGCCCGGCATAGTTGATGAACCAAAATTAAAAATAAAATATTTTTGAAACATACTGCTAAATCAATTAAATCAACACGATATGAACTTAAAAGAAAGTATAGTAATTACTTCCAATATTTCTTATGGTGCAATTTAGTTTGTATATAAAGTACTGTACATCTTTTTTGTGAGACATTTTTTCAATAGAATAAGGGTGACCAACGAGTACACAGTTCGCCTGATGATTAGTGGATGCTGTGGCTCATAGACATCAACATTTTGCCTCAAAAATAAATCAAAATGAAGATGCGTTATCACCCCTGAAGATTAAGATGGAATGCCCTCGTTTCCAGTAAAAATAATCTCCGGTTCTCTACACTCACCATACGAAACATAGCAGTATTCAGCTACTATTTGACGCTAGTACTTTGAAAGCGGGGTCCTATCCGGGTCGAGCCGACCCATTCGAGCTCCAACCATATTATATCTGTAGCATGGCTGCACCACATTATAAAATACCGTTCTTGGCCAGCCAATAAAGTCACACCGCAAAACGATGTATGCAAATAACTTAACGTATTTTAGTAGAATGCCTAGCATATATTAATCTGAACAGTTTATCGATTAAGTTCTCTTCTGGAGAATATTTTAAGGCTTTGCGTGTGGTACACTTGCAAAATGTAATATAATGATCATGATGAAGTTTTTATGTGTTGAGAAGATACTTTTATAAATGCCTCACTCATTATTGATATTAAGCTGATCAAATGAAAAATGAAAAATGTTACGATTCTCTAAAAGAAATACGACTTCTGTAAATTCAAAAACACTATTTCTACTTATAATGCCTCGTTTACAGGCTAAACACAAGTCGTATTATTGTTGATCGTGTGCGCTTTCATAATGTATTAAGGGTTAGTGGTGTCGGGTTAAGTAGTGGCAAATGTAGTGCGCGCAATTGTGGTAAAGGGAAGGCTCTTTAATCTAAGTTTACACATCATTTTATTCTTCATGCTAATCAAATAAAGTTTCACATCTTTAAAAATATACGATAATTTCTGAAAAAATGTCTGATAAGTTCCGCCTGATTCTATTTATTTTAATTACATATTATTCGTTCTTCAATACTCACGCATAAGAACCATATCGATATTCCTCTTCAACTGATGGCTGTCGAAACTGGCAATTGGGGTCAACGCCGCTGCCATAGTCCGGTGGAACAACAGACCAACTGTTGTCATAGTTATAGTAGTCCCCATAACCCATGTCGTTTTCACCCATCATTTTCATCATACACTTTCAAGAAGTCTTATTTAAAGTTATTGTTTGAGAACTAATCTGACTAATATAATAAATGTGATTGATTACTGATTGCCATTTAGAAACTCAATTTGTTTTCGCGAACCTTTAATAAGCCGCTTAAAAAGATTTGCTTTGTCAGTCCCAGCGAATGGTCGGCAAACACTACGGGACTACAACCGTATCGACTGATCGATGCCACACCGGGCATTATCAATAAAATTATATCGTTATCATATCTAACAGCTTTCCCCCGCGATATGGGGACTTTTATAAACGCGGCGCCGATTCTCGGCAAGTCCAATATTGAGCGGATTGCTTTATCGGTATCAGATGTAGGTAAAGTAAAACACACCATTGTCAATGTGCTAGTGCGTCATGATATCCAGGAAGACAGGTTCTAGTCTCAGAAATATTGTTTAAATTTAATCATGACGTAAACCTAAAATTGATAATAACAAATATGAGGTAGATAAATCTAGAATTCTATGGGCGTAAATAAGTTCACAGGCTTGAGTGACGAAACAAAAAAACTAAATACTAACTTTTTTATTCATCTTATAATGGCATTTGTTAAAGTGGTAGAGCCATTCTGCATAATAAACTTACTTATTATTATTGTTGTACGAATGGGTCGGCTCGGCCGGGTAGATCCACGCTCTCACACAGTACCAGCGTAAAATAGTAGCTCAATGCTAAAAGGTAGTCAGTATACTCGTACAAGTTAAGAGGCTGAGAGTCTTCTTTATTTCTATCTGAAGTTGCTACAGTTTTGTATGGGCTGCAATAGATACTCACCATCAGGTGGACCGTAAGTTCGTTGCAACAGAACAAAAACTTCCGTTCTAACAAATAATGTGTACTGTAAGATACAATCATTTAAAAAAAATCTTCAGCGATATATAAACATTTTATTTGAAATCGATCGATTTTATCTTAAAGATGGATTAAGTAACAACACTATAAATTACTAATTAATAAAATTCATTTTCGACTCATTCCCATCATAGTTATGTCATTCTGCGAAGATGTCACGTCATGGGAGCAACCCATCAGTAAGTAATATCGATTTTATCTGTATTTTTATAGTTTTAGACACGAAATATTCGTTGCAATGTTTTTGTATTGAACTAAACTAATGATTTCGTTAAAAATCTTGTCTTGAAATGTGTTTTCTAGGCCCTAGTATGTATTCTAACCTAATTGTATCCACACAGATACATTGCCAAAAACCCGGCTAAGTTGTGTAACATAACACTGTATCTGAGTGGATACACCGTCAAAACTTAGTAAAACAATGCTTGACGTTTGAAGTTATATATAATACTAATACTAATACATAATACTATATTTTATGGCTGTGTGAGTAACCCTCGCCCCGCCAAATTTAAGATTAATATCTTATTTATTTTTTTGCCTGATGTTTTATGTAGTATTTTCGTGTTATGGTGTCTTTTGTTTTATTTTTGCTTGGGTTTGGTTTTTGGTTGCATATGTTTTTTATTTTATTGTCCATAGATACTTCAACGGGCTAGGTGTAACCGCATTTTTGCACTATTACCTGAAAGAAATGCACAGTCTGATGGTAGGGAGCTGTCAGACGTTGAAGAAGAGGAGTTCTTCCAACCTCCAGATGAAGACTGTTTCAGGTCTTCTCCGCCTTCCATAGATTCGTCACTCGAACGAATGAATATACTTGACAGCGATGACGAAGATCCCTCTTCTGCAACACCAGCTGCGTCACTTTCTGTGACTCACGATCAATCCGATTCGCCTTCGATCCTTGATGTAGCGCTTACTCCTGTATTGAATACTGTATTTCCTTTCAATGACAAAATTGATTACAATTCTTTAACTTCTATAAATTCGATTCCATTATTGCCGTCACCGGCTTTACCTGTGCCAGTTACTCCATCTACATCACGTGGTCAAATATGCACGAGATCTAGAAAGCGCGGACGAGACATGCAACCCCGACTTTTAGTAAAAAGAGCAAAACGACTACAATTAAATTTCCACTGGAAAAAAACACGCTTTTCCCATAGTGCTTCCATAGAACCAGTTGTATTCACAGATTCATCTCCTGAAGACATTTCTCCACGAAGGTACTTTGCACTGTTTTTCTCCGATGACATTACGAAATTGGTAAAAAATAATTGTATTTATTTTTTAAATATATAATTTAATCCAAATAAGTAGTATTAAGATTTACAATTTGACATTTATCGAAAGCGATATAATTCCCTGTGTATAACACTGTTATTTAGTTTGCAGTTTACTTCATGATTATCGATAAACGTGAATAAAAACGAGACCCACAGGTTACCTCTGGTGGGACTCGAACCCACAATCCTCGGCTTAGGAGGCCGATGCCTTATCCATTGGGCCACAGAGGCGGCGGCAAAGCGTCGCTACTTTGACCATACGTTGTGGTATTCGCGTTGCGTCACCTCGCGTCAGTGATCGCGATCTGCGTTCACTCACACTCGTGAAATAACGGGAAAATAATAACTCGAGTCCTAAGATGAAATATAATATAAAATTTAAAAATAACAAATGTTGATAATATATTAAGTGGTAGCCAACTATGTGCTAAAAAAATGATAAATCATTAACATTATTTATCATTTTGATTATTTCTAAAAAAAATATAATTAAAAATTGTATTTTTTTTAAAAAATCCACTGGGCTTCGTGCTGCTTATTAGAGCAGAAGTATTTTCCTATTTAGATATGTATAAATTAAAATAAATTTCAAGAAGTATATGTTTTTATATTGAATCAAAAAGTTCTATTACAATTTCATGCAGTACATATTATATTAATTTAGCAGTGCTATGCTAACAGTAGTCACCGTGTAGTGGCGGTTTAAGAATATCCACTACCCCATATGGTCCCGTGGGTGTCGTAAGAGGCGACAGAGGGAAACTGAAACAGTTGAGGGGCAGGAGCATCTTCCCAATAACAACTCAAAGCAATAAGAAACTGTGGTTAACGACCCGCTCGCCAAGCGTGTCACTATGGCTAAATCCCTCCTATGAGGTAATCTATAGGAGAGGCCTGTATTCAGCAGTTAACTTTTATAGGCTGTAAATGGATGGATGAACAGTAGAGTCACTAGTAGCACACAAAGTATAAATACTATGAAATCTGTTTAATATTCAAAATAACACTGCAAAAACTTCTTCTTGACAAATGTTATTATAATACATTAGACGAATTTTTAAACGATATATTATAATATTATTAATGTTATGCTTGCAGTTTGTTAGGAGTTTTATCTAATGAAAATGTTAATTTTAACCTATGTAAAAATATTTGTGTCTTACGACAAAAAACCAGCGCACTATGTTTCAGAAATAAAAATTCTGGTTCTGATTCTAGGTTTGAGTAAAAAATTCGGTATATCGAAATTTTCTCATACAAATTGTATATGATATAGCCACTATTTTTAAATCTCGCTATATATCGATATTTGTTATTTATTTTGGAGTATCGACTTCGTATCAATTTTGATATATTTTAAAATGCTGTATTAATCGACAAAACATTAAGCAATAAAAGTAGGTACAAAAGCATTCATGTGTTGTTGTCTTTTTTTTTTTTGGTTGTCCTAAAATTAATACATTTTTGGGACTTGTCCTATCATCATGCATATATATATATATATATATATATATATATATATATATATATATATATATATATATATATATATATATATTGATACTGTTTAAAAATAACGATACGATATAATATATCTATATATTTTTTTCACTTGGCCATCCCTATCTGATTCTGATAATTGTTGCTTAAATATGATTGTATTTTTTCATGTTTTTATAAAAGTAAGGCTGAAACACGAGCACACAGTTAACGTGGTGGTAAGAGATTGCTTCACAAGGAATGAAGGATGGATGATGAACATAGATACCTATATCCGTTATCGAGTAAGAATCGAAATTATTAGCTGCAGCTATATTATGGCTGCATAAATGGGTCGACTCGACCGGGGAAGGACCACGCTCTCACAGAATACCAGCGTAAAATAGCAGCTTAATACTGTTGTGTTTTGTATGGTGAGTGTAGAGATACGGAGACCCTTTTTACTGGATACGAGGCATTCCATCTTAGTCCTCAGAGGTGACAATGCATCTGAATTTTAATTCTTGATAGAAGATATATGGCCATAGGTGGACTGTGTGCTCGTTTATAATCCATATTCTATAAAGTAAATAACTTTGTGCTTGTGATTCAATACCTAATTACTACTAACAATTCAATAACTAATTTATTATAATCAGGTACAAACTTTGTGAGCCCACTTCTAGTCCAAATAGCGACGCCTGTCATTATAAATTCAGTAAATTATCTGTATGTAGGTACAGTAATGTTGATGTACCAGTTACATCACCTTTAATTAAATAAATGCTTCGTGGCGACATTATGAAATATTATATACTGGCGACTCGCCAGTATATGTTATTACAAGTTATACGTACAGTACAGTATATAATATTATGTTATAACGGTTTAGCAAGGGTAACTTCTGGATCTCGACAACAGCGTTACCTACTGGATCTATTTGTAAATCTGAACTATCCAGGGACCCACACAACACACACGAAATTTCATCAGAATCGGTCGAGACTGTTTCGAATTTTATGTATATATATATATATATATATATATATATATATATATATATATATATATATATATATATATATATATATATATATATATATAAGACTAGTCTTATATATTATATATATATAAGACTATTAATATAACGATATTGTTAATCTAGTTTTTATTTGTTGTATGGTGGCAACGTAAAGTAATCCATCATACTATTTTGTCCCACGTCTATAAGAGGCGACTATGGAACATGAAAATCTGTCAGCTTTTTATAGGCAGCAAAACTACCATTTTCACATAAGGCGTAAAGTACATAGGCCGCCGACGGTCAACATCGTTAAAGGT